AAAAAAAAAAAAAAAAAAAAAGAAGTAGAACACAATTTAAACTATTTAACTGAAGATTATTTGGGTCTTATGACAAATTGCGAATGGCTTTGGATAAAAACGTATAACTGTAATACCTTCTGCACACTGGCACAGGTCTCCTTTACACAGTTTGTAAAGTGCACCATTAGTCCTTTCAGGGTGGAAGAACTTTGTACAGCGTGCATCTAAAACACACATGCATTTAATTAAAGACGACAACAAAACCCTTCTAGCACTTCCCAGATAATCCAGAATGCATCAGCTTGTCATACACACCTTCAGCCTGAAACCAGAGCATTTGACTGATCGTTTTGCACTTTGAAAACAATGTGCTCCCGTGCTGTTGACATCTGCTATAGCAGAGTAACTTGTATTGATTTATTCCTTGCCCTCCTTAATTCTGTGTATTGTTTTCATTTGTAAATCACTTTGGCTAAATGATATATTTTAAGTGTACATGTAAGAAGATGGGCGTGTGTGTGTGCAGCTCACCTGGTGAGTAATATTCATATATCGTGACTGCAGCAGGTTGAAGCAGACCCACATTATACAGCTTGTGCATTCTGAAGGAAATTACTTCTTTCTCTTTATGAGAAACCTAATAATACAGAAACCAATGTAAAATTATGATTACATTACTTGATTTACTCTGGAAATTGCCAATGTTAGCATTTCCACAAGCCACAAATAATAATAATAATAAAACAAATCTTTAAAAAAGAAAGCTATAGTTACATTTACACTGAAAAGACAGTTTTGTGTGTTGCATAGCTGACAGAATACAAAATTTAAATTTGTTACAGCCATAGGTTATATATTACATATGTACTTTTTAATTTGGGCGACAAAATTATGTATATCGTTAGCCATTGGCTAATAAATTCTTAGATTTTACTCGCCAGTGTGTGAGTTGGAGGCCAAGTATAAGTTTAGGACAGATATATTTCATATATCGCTGAACACTCTGACTGTATGGAAAGCCGTTTATTCCTTCACAGTATATGAATTCTTGATATCAACAATTCAGTTTTCACTAGTTAAAATGCTAATTCTTGATATCCGAGTATTTACGTGTCCATCTATGAAGGATGTAGGCAGTCAAACACATAGATGTATATATACACATACAGAACTGTTAGCCAATCATAGCAGTGGGCGTTTACTTCTGAGTCTACTATCCGCCACCATTCCTATTCAAACAGAGCGTTCTGATGAAGGGCGTCAAAACAGGACATAAAATAGCCTATTACTATTATGATGTTTTGATGTAAAAATCTTGATAACATTATGTGACGAGAGGGGCGGGGCCGAGAGCCGTGGGAACGGAGCGAGGCCGGGGGGGTAATTGATAATGCGCGACACCTGCGCCACTCACCGGTCTCGAGTCCCACGGAGGAGCTCCGGAAGGATAAAAAGGAGGAGTGACGACAGTGTTGGACGAGAGAGGACCAGGCCTGGACTTTATTTTGTGTTTTGGTTTTGTTTGTGCGTGACAGTCGTCCGTGAGGGGCTGTCGCGCTGTTTTGAGTTTATTTTATTATTAAAGTTTTATTTAAATGTTCGCCGGTTCCCGCCTCCTTCTTCCCGACCTACAAACGTTTGTTACACATTATAAGTGGACCTCAGAAAACAGTACAAAATAATAAAAAAGGCAGTTCATGACCCCTTTAAAGGTGAACATGCAGTGACATGGAACTTCCTGGATGTGCAGTTACTGGATATTAATGAAGCACTGTCAGAATCAAGAGTTCAACAGTATTGAATATAAAACAATAGCACATGTTTCCAGGACAAAAGAAAACAAGATTGAATCTGTTCACGAAATCATCAGACAACACAGTTTGCTGATACCTTATCTAAGTAGAGGATGAGGGATCCTCGCTCTGACAGCACTTTATTATTTTCATATTTCTGAATGTATCTCTCCTTCCCTGAAGACAACTGAGGGCAAGAAAACAAGAAAACAAAAACCTCAATACATGACATGATCAAAATGTAATTCTTGTTAAGCAGGTTTTACTAATCAGAGACCACTTTCTTGGTGACATTGGGAAAGGATGATAGGTGGCGAGCTAAAGACTTCCTGATCCCTCCTGTCAGAATGCGGAGTAGAGAAAATGAACGTGTAATCCTGAGTTACGCGATTTTAATCATCATGCAGTCACCAGCATCACCCTCGCCCCCCAAACAAATTTTTTTAAATTACTGATTTGCATGATTCACGTGGGTCAGGACTTTAGGCCGAAATGTTTTTCACTCTGTAAGAAAATGAACGCGTGGCGTGAGAGCTGGAAGGTACATCGGACGAGATGAAGTGCAATGCAGCACCAGATGTGTCCTCGACTTCAAGGCTAAAATAAATGCTTCTTTCAGTATGATTAAACAAAGATGAAAATTAAATAGTAGCATATAAATTTTGGGGTGCACCTGGGCTGGACAATCAGATTTCTGGCTCCGCCACTGTGTTTTATATACAGATGTGAAGCATCAGTTTATCATCACAGTACCTCTTCCAGATCTCTGGTCTCCACAGTAAATCCGGTCGGTATGCCAATCTCCAGAATAGTCATGGTTGCATCGGTTTTATCACTTTTGTAGCTGTGAAGATAGAGATCAAGATAAGATTTTAATAACTGGTTTTGAAGTTTTGCTCCATCTTCTCTGTGTTTAAAGCAGTTTTGGTAACACTTTACTTGAAGAGGTGTGCATAAGACTGACATGGCACTTTCATAATCGTGACATGACACATGTCATGAATATGAAGGAGGTTTTATGCATGTTTATGACAACTGTTATTAAGTGTCAATCGCTCAGTTATGTCATTTTTAATGCAAACATGACATTATTTGACCTAACCCTACCCCTACCCTTACCCCTAACCATAGCCCATAACATAGACATCTCAAACAATGTCATCTTTGCATTAAAAATTACATAACTGAGCGAATGACACTTAATGACAGTTGACATAAATATGCATATAAAAAAACTTCATATTCATGACATGTGTCATGTCATGATTATGTAGGTGTCATGTCATGATTATGAAGGTGTCATGTCAGTCTTATGCACACCCCTTCAAGTAAAGTGTAACCGCAGTTTTCACACTAGAGCTTTTGGTTTGAACCCGAGTGCGTTTGACTTCAGAATTATTATATTGTAGTGACGCAGAGCTGCTCGTCTCTGAATAAACTGTCTTTTGGTAGCAGAGGTAACCAGCTGTCACTAGCATTCACGTTCATGATGCAAACATACAAATGTGGGAAAAGCAAACTTTGTAGTGACGCAGAGCTGCTCGTCTCTGAATAAACTGTCTTTTGGTAGCAGAGGTAACCAGCTGTCACTAGTATTCACGTTCATGATGCAAACATACAAATGTGGGAAAAGCAAACTATGACCAAAAAAAAAAAAAAAAGTCTGAAAACAGCTTAAATGATAAATTACAAATAAAATAGTTTATTGGCCTAATAATAAACTTAGCATTTTTGTTCACATACTAGAAATCCATAGTGAGCTTGTAACTTGCAATGGCTTCTCGTTTTTCTAAAGAAAAAACATGGTGTTAATTAAAATCAAAAAGCAGCACATAATGAAGTGTTTTGGAGGTTTTATTTTAGCTCTGAATTTATGGAAAGTGCTACAAAAAGGGCAGGAACTCAATCTTACGTTCAGGATCTTTCTCCATTTTAACAGTCAGATCAAAGAAAGTACAGTCAGATTTCTTCTCAACAGGTCTGGCGTAGTACAGCGTCAGAACCTGAAAACAGCAGCACGTCTCAGATTAGATGTTCAAACGCTTTAATCTTGCTGTTGACTGTATAAACGCTCACAAACACTCACTGAGAGAGTGGCTGTTCCAGTTCCTTTAGCAGTTACATTGAACTCCTGGTTTATCTCCACCTGTTGAGTGAATGCAGACGTACTCGAGTCATCAGAATAGTCAAATCCATGATGTTTTGGAGGTTTTATTTTAGCTCTGAATTTATGGAAAGTGCTACAAAAAGGGCAGGAACTCAATCTTACGTTCAGGATCTTTCTCCATTTTAACAGTCAGATCAAAGAAAGTACAGTCAGATTTCTTCTCAACAGGTCTGGCGTAGTACAGCGTCAGAACCTGAAAACAGCAGCACGTCTCAGATTAGATGTTCAAACGCTTTAATCTTGCTGTTGACTGTATAAACGCTCATGAACACTCACTGAGAGAATGGCTTTTCCAGTTCCTTTAGCAGTTACATTGAAGTCCTGGTTTATGTCCACCTGTTGAGTGAATGCAGACGTACTCGAGTCATCAGAATCAAATCCATGATATAACAGAGATACCTGAAGAGTTCATTGATCAAACACTATTGATGTAGACAATAAAAATTATGAATGACAAACGACAAAACTCCCATGATTCTTCATTTAATATCAAACCACAACAACTTTCAACTGAAATGAGCCACAAACAGTTTGAATCTAGAAGATGAGTTACTCCTCACCTTGTCTGACCGAGTAAGATGCATATTATCTCTTTTAAAAGCCCATCTGACAGGTTTGCTTCTTCCTGCCACGGACAGCTCCACGTTCAGATTGAAGTTTTGCCGGTCCTTCACCTGCGTGCGATACTCTGCCACGGCCTGGAACACCATGATGGTCGCCTAGAAAAGACAGAAAAGCATTCAAATCCTGTCCTGCAGTGTCAGTCCTGCACTTGTTCTGCTGTTCATCACAGTCAAATGATGAGGTGTTAGTGTACCTGAGTGGTGCCAGATCCTCCATAGTGAGACTGCTGTCTGTTCAGCCAGTGCACTGCTTCTCCTGCTTTATCAAAGTCTTTGTCCTTCACAAGCGCCAGCACAGCATAAGCCGTCGCCTCTAGTGAGTGATGGTGCTGTCCAGGGACAGTCCAGGACCGACCGGCTGTTTCAAACACAACACAGCAATAGAAACAGTATTGTCTCAAGCAGCTGTCATTACACAACAAAACATCTGTAATTCTTCCACTATTTACACTTGGGTCGAAGGTATGAAACGCATCCTTCTCACACAATCGACAAATTTCAACCCATATATCCCCTCAACTTGGCAACCTACAACAGTGATTCAACAGAGTACCACGGGAAGGAAAGGATCACTGGTAGAAATGGGACGGAAGGAGAAGACTCCGAAGACGGTGAAAAAAACAAATATACATGCAAATTGAGATATAGCTTACACTTCAAAAGGCTATGGTTTAATTGATTAAATATGAGCGCTGCAAGTTGCAAAATCAGATGCTGCACTACTTTGTTTACTGCAGTTACCGGGGAAATGGCTATATTCCTGGCGAAAAGCGAAAGAATGAAGAGAGAATGAATTAGCATTTTTCAATAAGCCCTTCTGCTTTTTATTTTAGTCCAAAGCCAAAAGCAACTTTTATTTTTACACAGAAAACACACAGTTTTGATATACACGCAGTTTAAATAATTGTTTGATAATAACTGTTTAAATTAATATAATATAATATAATAATTTATACTTTTGCCCCGCCCCGCCCCAACCCCAAGCACGCCCCCCATCTGTCTCCCGTATTTTGGGACCCTAATGTTGACAGGTATGTACCTGTGTGGTGCCAGATCCTCCATAGTGAGACTGCTGTCTGTTCAGCCAGTGCACTGCTTCTCCTGCTTTATCAAAGTCTTTGTCCTTCACAAGCGCCAGCACAGCATAAGCCGTCGCCTCTAGTGAGTGATGGTGCTGTCCAGGGACAGTCCAGGACCGACCGGCTGTTTCAAACACAACACAGCAATAGAAACAGTATTGTCTCAAGCAGCTGTCATTACACCACAAAACATCTGTAATTATTCCATTATTTACACTTTGGTCGGAGTGAGTACTGTTGAATGTTGTACAAAACACAACTCTTTTTGATGCCTTGTTGACTTGACTGACCTTCGTGTTGGGTGGAGTGTTTCATCAAGATGTCTTTATTGAGTTTGTTGGCATTGGCCATGGCGTAGGACGTCATCGCAATGGCGTAAGGATTGGTCAGTTGTGGAAGCCGACCTTCCAAGAAAGAAACAGCCAGCATGATGCTTAAATGGAGACTCTATAAAAGTGTGAAAGGCGAAAATAAGTTCTTAGATCTGCATCCTACAGCATTTACCATAATCAACTGTTAAAGGAACAGTTCACCCCAAAATTCTGTCATCATTTACTCACTCTCAAGTCGTTCCAAAGCTGTACGAGAAGAAAGAAGATATTTTGAAGAAAGTTGGTAACCAAATAGTTGCTTGTCCCCATTGACTCCCATAGTATGGAAAAAAATACTATGGAGGTCAGTAGAGACCAAAACCAGTTTGTTACCTACATTCTTTAAAATATCTTCTTTTGTATTCAGCAGAAGAAATACATTTTTACAGGTTTGGAACGACATGAGAGTCAGTAAATGACAGACTTCATTTTTGAATGGACTATCGTGTTAACTCCTGAAGGTTCTTGTGTGCTGTCCACTGATCTGTATAATGACTGGATTGCTCACTGTGCAGCCATTAGGCGATGAAGACATCGTAAGTGTTCTGGCCATGTTGCTATTCCCTACCGGCAGAGAGCATCAGACAGCCAAAACACTGACCTAACGTCACCTGATTGTGCAGTATTTTTAGGATATGTACAGTGGGGCAAAAAAGTATTTAGTCAGCCACCAATTGTGCAAGTTCTCCCACTTAAAAAGATGAGAGAGGCCTGTATCATCATAGGTATACCTCAACTATGAGAGACAAAATGAGAAAAAAAATCCAGAAAATCACACTGTAGGATTTTTAAATAATTAATTGGTAAATTCCTCAGTAAAATAAGTATTTGGTCACCTACAAACAAGCAAGATTTCTGGCTCTCACAGAGCTGTAACTTCTTCCTTAAGAGGCTCCGCTGTCCTCCACTCGTTACCTGTATTAATGGCATCTGTTTGAACTCGTTATCAGTATAAAAGACACGAATTGTTACTTCAGGTGTAATCTGTAATGTTTATTGCCTTTTCAGGCAGGATAAGCGATATATTGGAGTTGGCTTACTGTACGAATAAAAACAATATTACAGAAATCTTTCAGATTCAGATTTCAGAATGAGCACTTTCTTATTTGTAATACATATGTTGAGGATCTCGTCTGGAATAGGGAATATGAATGTGGTGGCACGGTGGCAACATTTTTTTATGACTTCATGAGCAATTCTCTAATATAGATCAGTGGTGCTGTCACCTGTATGCTTGAACAAATCACAATTCTTTAGATAACTTTGTCATGAGGACCCATAAATGATACAGTCAGAGAGCTGTTTTAAGACTGTAATAATGAGATCAGAGATACACATTTTGTTTGCCTTGACTATATGGCCACATACTTACTGTAAAGTTATAGGGGTGATTTACAGAAACGGCAACCTAGTGAATGTGTGCACAGGATTAAGCTTTAAAAGATGAATGTGCATGTAGCCAAAGATTCAGGGGGGGAAAAAAGCACCAAAACTGCACGTAGTGAAACAAATTCACTTACAGCAACTGGTCCAGCACAGATCTCGCTGGCCTCTTGCATGGCAATCACAACAAAAGCCGTCAGAGAGGCATCAGCATCTTTGCCACGCACGTCACCCTGGAATAAAGCACAAATAAACTAGACTATCACAAGAACTGTCAAGACTGTGTGTGTGTGTGTTTGAGAGAGAGTGTGTGTGTGTTTAGGGTTCTTACAAAGTCAAATTCAAGCCCTTTTCAAGCAGTTTCAAGGAGCATGTTCAAGAATTTCAAGCACTCACACGAGCCCTGGTGTTACACATTCAGTAACAATTTGTTCATTAATGTAGAATAAAGTGCAGTGTGCTTGTCTTGATGTGAATTTAGCTTCTGTGAATGAAGTTAACCGAAATGTTGAAAAACAAGCCAGATCAAAAACTTCCTCCATAGTCACTGCATTGTTATATTTTGTTTGTTTGTGCTGTAGATTTAATGCATTACTCCTGGAAACCACAGTGAAATAAATCACTGGCTCAGGTTCATTCCATCTTTCTTTTGTGAACAGAGATGGACACATTCAACAACATTCAACTTACCACCATCTCTCCCTGCATTACAGCTGATTCCTCTTTAAAAGAGCCGTCTTGTATTTGTTTGTGGAGCATCAGCCACTTAAGGGCGCTGCAGATCACATTCTCCTCTATAATAACAAGGTTATGGGCCATGCTGAAGACTTTAGCCACATATGCTGTCAACCTTCAACAGACAAGCAGAACAGAAATTAATCAAATGTAAAACAAATTATGATTATCATTACTAATGATGTAATATATAATGTAATACAAGAGAAACTAGGCATGAAACATAAAAACAAGTTTATTTCCCCAAAAGTAATGACATCAAAGTGACTTTACCATGTGCTGCTCGGCCTGTCTCTCCATGCAGCATAGGATCCATCTGATTTACGGTAACCCAGCTGCCGCTGATAACCTTAATATGAAAAATAATAAAGAAAGAATATTTATTTGTTTATTATCTGCATATTTGTTCCTGCTTTTGGTCTAAAGTTTTCAAGAGAGCATCTTTGAGAGTGTTTTTTTCCCAAATCATAGTCAGATCCATCATCAATTTATATCTATTTATTGTTTATTTATTTATATGGTGCTTTTTACAATACAGATTGTTTTAAAGGGCACCTATTATGCAAAATTCACTTTTACATTTTGTTAGAACATAAATGTGTGTTGGCAGTGTGTACACAACCACCATATAATGATAAAAATCCACCCACTGCTTTTTTAAATCCCCATGAATCATAAGCAGTGTCTCAGAACAAGCCGTTTGTAGAATCTGTACAATGTGACGTCACATTTCATATGCCCTGCCTACAAGTGTTGACGGACACTGCCGTATCAGCAGAGACCCCGCCCTGAGTGAGCCGCACACCATCCGCCATGTTCATCTTCACGCAAGAGCATTTAAAAGCAGCATTCAAGTAAGAAATGTATTCTTATTAAAGCTATACATGAGATTTATTTTCCCAGTCAAATCAATAATATTGTTGAATATTTAGTAATCTTGATTTTTATATCTGTTGTGTGCTGCTGACCTGTGCTGATATGGTTAACAGCTTCATTACGGCGCTCCATGCCAACAGTGTCCCACTGATTGGTGCTGTCCAGATAATGAGTGGCTGTGAGAGGTAGAGTCAGTGTGTACACAACCATCATATAATGATAAAAATCCACCCACTGCTTTTTTAAATCCCCATGAATCATAAGCAGTGTCTCAGAACAAGCCGTTTGTAGAATCTGTACAATGTGACGTCACATTTCATATGTCCTGCCTACAAGTGTTGACGGACACTGCCGTATCAGCAGAGACCCCGCCCTGAGTGAGCCGCACACCATCCGCCATGTTCATCTTCACGCAAGAGCATTTAAAAGCAGCATTCAAGTAAGAAATGTATTCTTATTAAAGCTATACATGAGATTTATTTTCCCAGTCAAATCAATAATATTGTTGAATATTTAGTAATCTTGATTTTTATATCTGTTGTGTGCTGCTGACCTGTGCTGATATGGTTAACAGCTTCATTACGGCGCTCCATGCCAACAGTGTCCCACTGATTGGTGCTGTCCAGATAATGAGTGGCTATGAGAGGTAGAGTCATAAGCATCATGTTCTGCTCTCCACTGCCACGAGGCTGAACAATAAACCGCCCCATGAAGCTTCCACTGATGGCCTGCTCGACTGTCTGAGTGATCTCTTCAGCTGGAGGAATGTAAGAGGAAACATTCAGTTCAGTTTATTATATTTGTACGCAACACTCTCAACACTATATGTGACTTGTAGGTCTTCTATCTGGAAGAAATTGAAAATGTTAGTCCAGATCCTGGTTTCACCGATCACAGCGCATCTTGAAAACAGCTTTTAAAAAATCCATTGCAAGTGTTTTATTGAAAATCTATCAAATGCTATTAAGTGATCATCTAATAGCATGTCCACTGATGCAACAGTTTATATTCTTACACTCAGCGGCATGCATATAATGGCTTGTATTGTCCACTTCTCTGTCTCCTGCTTTGTTGGGGGTTATTTCATATACATATGTTAGATGTGCAGCAGCAGTATTTCCTACATGCTCACAGCAGTATGTCTGTGGATGTATTGGCAGTAGCAGGTCTCAACCCTGCCGCAGCATCAGGCCCGGATCAAGAATTCAGAATCTCCTGGGCACAATGTCTTGTAATATTATAATAATTATTGTAATATTATAATATTTCAATTATTTAAATCTTTCCTTCATTTTTATTGAAAACAAATGTCTTTCTGATCTGATATGTTATGGGGAAAAAAGAGAAGAATGAGTTCGGCAAAAGGTGGATTTGAACTGATCGATCATGTAAAAACACACCACCACGTGCTTTACGCCCTGCGCCACTAACTCTGTTGTATGGTGCACGTCTTTCTTTAGTAATGCTGTCTACATCAACCACACATTGGTGGGCGGAGCTGATGTAAAGAGCCTCTGAAAAAAAAAATTATTCCCACTCGCTTGGGCCCCAAGAATGCAAGAGTACAAACCAGTCCCAACATTAAGTACCGTGATAGAATCCTCATACAAGTACTACACAATTTGCCAAGGACATTATGACTGTAGATATAGGCTTCACCTCTCTCGAAATAAAACATGCATACAACTTTAAAGAAATAATCACTACACATTTATGAAATCATCTTTTTCCTTACCAGTAATCGAGATGTACGTGTCAGCAGGTGTGTCTGGAAGACGATCAGCTGGTATGTCAGCTTTAAAAGCTAAAGGTTTTTCCCCTGATCCATTTGGGAAGAGAATCAGAGAAGAACAGCAAGATGGAGGAAGAGTCATGAGTCACGAGCTGATCATATTTTGTATGATTTTGGTGAGTACTGAGCAAGAAAAGAGCAGGAGTTCATTGTGATCTCTGGATTGGCTAAAACTAATGATATTCATGGACATTTTTTCATAACTGGCTAGAAGTGTAATGTCTGCTACGTTGTATAGTGGAAGTGTAACAGAGTGATGTTATTGTGTGCTTCACAGTAAATCTCACCATTCTTAGCAGGATTGAGCTCCACATTTTCTCTGCGTAATGAAATCAGCACACCCTCAGACTGAAAGAGAGAGTGTTAACTACCAATGATGCTTTAGTTTATCTATTGAAAATGACAAACATCTATTAATGATACAAATGACTAAATAAAATAAAAAGTGTCATTTCCCCAAATTCCCATCAGACGTACCACCACCTTCAGCGTCTTTCTCACTCCATCAGAGAACATGGCTTCATATGCAGAAGCTTTCACCTCAATATCATGATTTCCCAGCGTCATGGGAATAATCACATATGAAACAGCTATGCTGGAGCCTTTGTCAACAGATACTGTTGTTCTGTATTTGCCTTTCTTACTGGCAGAGCTGCAAACATCTTCTGTCTCCATGAACTCCACACGCACCTGGTGAAAACAGGAGAATGAGACTCAAATCACTTAAATATCCAGAGGAAACTTCAATCCAATATGAATGAAGAAGGACATTTATGTTTTAGCACAGGGCAGTATCCTATACTTTTCTTTAATTTGAGTCCTGAGCAGCACAAAAAAAGAAATTACTCTCACTCCATGTAATGCATGTTGTCATTAGAACATGATTTGACTAAAACATAATTGGTTACTATGACTCACACAGCTTTAATTTTTACCATAAATTTTAAATTAATTTTTAAGGTAACACTTTACTTGAAGGGGTGTGCATAAGACTGACATGACACCTTCATAATCATGACATGACACATGTCATGAATATGAAGGAGGTTTTATGCATGTTTATGACAACTGTTATTAAGTGTCAATCGCTCAGTTATGTCATTTTTAATGCAAATATGACATTATTTGACCTAACCCTAACCTACCCCTACCCCTAGCCTTACCCCTAACCATAGCCCATAACAAAGACATCTCAAACAATGTCATCTTTGCATTAAAAATTACATAACTGAGCGAATGACACTTAATGACAGTTGTCATAAACATGCATAAAAACCTTCATATTCACGACAACAACCATGCATGTCACTTCTGCAGGCTGCACCTTACTCTGTGAGATAAACACACTTGTATAGCTTTTGCTGGCTCTGAGACACTCGCTTGGCATTATTCCTGCTCTTTTTCTAGCAAATAAATAAACAGATCACTCATCACTAAATGAAAGCTTAAAGTCAAGGCCTGATGATTTCAGGGGTCTCGTCACAAGTTTTTTTGTTTGAATTTCTGTATTACTTTTGTTGTATTTTCACACTTAAAACAATGTTGGCACTCCTCTTGTACCGCTGTCCTCTTGTGCAATGAAATAAGTCTCCTGACAGTTCTCTGCCAAGTGCTTCCGCTGTTGTCACAATTAAGTGGGGAAGTCGTGGCCTAATGGTTAGAGAGTGGGACTCGTAACCCAAATGTTGCGGGTTTGAGTCTCGTACCGGCAGGAATTGTAGGTGGGGGGAGTGAATGTACAGCGCTCTCTCCCACCTTCAATACCACGACTGAGGTGCCCTTGAGCAAGGCACCGAACCCCCAACTGCTCCCTGGATGCCACAGCATAAATGGCTGCCCACTGCTCTGGGTGTGTGCAGAGCACGTAACCATACTTGGCCACATGTCACGTTATCTCTATAACACTTTTAATGGTCAAGAAATTACTTCCCTTTAAAGTTTTGGTTCATTCTTAGCTGTTGATCAAAAATTATACTTAATCTTAAACTTACACCAAATATTTTTTTATTTAGTTTCATTTAGTAACTTTCAGGAGGGTGTACTCATTTTTGCAACACAACATTTTATCACTTTGATAAGAAAATATTTTCCTGAATAATTTGGACATGCTTCTTTGGTAACTGATCAAGCAGACTTGCTGGAACATTATATCTCTAAAGAACATGTCTTCTAAGTAAAGAGTAATTGCTGTTTAAGTTTAAGTTTCTGAAGAGGTGCAATCATTTATGCAAAATATCTATGCTGTAACTTTATTCCAATACAGCAGGCCTGTTTCTAGGCATAGGCAAGCTAGGCTGTCCAATAGGTCACCTAGGGTGCCACCAGCAGAAGGGGAAGCCAATGAGCACACGTACTGGCACTATATTTTAGCAGGGTTGTGATAAAGAGTGGCACGGCCACCCTGAAAAATGATTGCAGCCCTCACTGGATCCCCCAACATCATTGGGCTAGAGTACTGACAATCTGACAATGCCTGTATGCCATTGGATCAGAGCGCCGTCATTTGCGTCAATTGCTGCCGGATTGCTGAATGTAAATTTGCATTTGGAGTATCAACAACACCATTAGAGCAATGGATTCTGTCAATTCGTTAGCAAGGTAAGGTTTTTTTTTTTTTTTGCCATGCAATAAAGCTAATTTCAAAGGCCAATTTAGAATATTGGTACAGTAAAAAAGTACACAAAATTAGGGTTAGGGTTCAATCTTGCTGCAAAATTGGTCCAAAAGGTGTGCGTTTCTGCGCCAATGCATTGTTAAAGGATCAGTGTGTTGTGTAATATTCCCATATAAAACTTTAACGACCAAATAAAAAATATTGGTAAAGTAAAATCTGCTAATTCACAAGATCAGTACATCCTTTATTAAACCTCTTTGTTGAATTTAACGCATTCCTTATGGAAGTGTCGAAATGCTCATTCACTTCTAACTAGGGATGCACCGGGTCCGATACTGGTCTCCTGTACTCGTACTCGTACTCGTTAAAATGCCCCGATACCAAACGCCGATACCACACAGCATGCGATAAGCACCATATTCAGACAAAGAAACACCAACAACAGACAGCAGAAAGGAGTTAAAGATGTCTACCACTAAGTATATGTATGCAATGAATATAATGTTAAACATTCAGTATTAACGCCTGTATAGCTGATGTGCGCGAGTTGATAAACAAAGCATGCTGAGTGGATTGAGCGCCCGGCGGCGCAGATGCTCAACCTTGTCGTGTGAATATATCTTTCTCACAGACATCACTGGAAGTTTGTAGTTCGGTCGGATATGTCAAAAACAAGTAAGTAAAACAATGGACAAGTTACTTAACGGTAGGGAGAAAGAGAGAGAGAGAGAGAGAGAGAGAGAGAGAGAGAGAGCGCGCGCAATTCTGTTGTTAGGTTAGGTTAGGTACACTTTATTGTCCCTGAGGGAAATTTGTCTTAGGCTCAGAAATACAACCACCACATCACATACAACACATACTAGTAGAGAATATATATATAAAAAAAAATGTTAATACAAAAATTTAAAATAATAATAAGTAATCAATAAATACATAACCTTACCTAGTGTTATTTAATAGCTTAATTGCAGAGGGAATAAATTAATTATTGTACCGATTCAATCTACTTCTTGGAATTCTTAATCTCCTACCTGATGGCAGCATCACAAACTCACAGTTCAAAATGTGTGTTGAATCATGCAGAATCTTATCTGCCTCCCTCAGCATAGATTTTTCATATAAAGTCTGGAGATAAAGAGGTTCTATCCTGCCCAAGATTTTCATGGCTGTTTGAATAAAACGTCCAAGCCTTGATTTCAGCTGTACCGTCAGATTACCATACCAAAGGTGTATACCGTATCTGATCACATTCTCTAGTACAGCTTGATAAAACAACATCAAAATCTTTCTACTGACACCATAAAATCTGAGCCTTCTCAAAAAATACATTCTTTGTTGTAGCCTAATACATACGCTTTCAACATGAACATGCCATGTAGGAGAGCAGTCAAGAAAAACATATTTTTTAAAAACATACAAGATATTTATATGAGGACACCTGTGCAATTTGAACGTTATGAATATAAACAGGGCTATGATCGCCAATTAACTTCGGATGGAATATCATCTCCTCAGTTTTCTTCACATTCACAATTAGGTGGTGAGCGTCACACCACTCAGTACATTGCTTGATTTCGGAGCGGTAAGACAAAATGTCTTGATCTTTATATAGTAAACTAAGAATAGCGGTGTCATCACTAAATTTCACAATGTGGTTGTTATCATATTTGCTCACACAACCATCTGTATATAATGTGAAGAGGACTGAGGAACTCACACATCCTTGAGGCACTCCTGTACTAATATATTTCAAGTCAGAGATCGTCTTATTGACTTTAACCTGTTGGGTTCTACCCGTTAAGAAAGAAAAAAAAAACATCTTATAATATAAGGATTTACATCCATATGTTTCAATTTCTCTAATAATAAATAAGGTTGCACAGTGTTAAAAGCTGAGCTAAAATCAATAAAAAGAAGATGTGTATATGCCTTTGGGTCCTCGAGATGTTTACAAACTAAATGGATAATACTTCCAACTGCATCCTCTGCACTTCTGCCCTGTTTATAACATGCCATGGATTTAGTTTTAAGGAAACTTCACTTTTCAAAAAAGACACAATATATTTCTCGAAGCATTTCATTACAATTGAAGTTAATACTATGGGTCTAAAATCATTGTTCTCAGAAGGATTTGACTTTTTTGGGATTGGTGTAATCACTGATCTTTTCCAAAGTGCAGGAACTCTCTGCGAGTCCAGTGAATGCTGAAAGAGCGTACCCCACACCGGAGTGAGTTCTGCAGCACA